CATATAGGGGGTGCAAGTTTTACAGGGGGGTAGGGGTACTCCACAAGAGCTTTATGGGGTGCAACAAGGAAGGATACCTCTGTACCGGTAGATTGTAGGGGAAAATAAGGGTGGTATCTGATGGCGGAATCGTAGAAGGGTGTACCCCTGCCTTGTTAAACAGATGAGGTAGGGTGGAGTAAAACCTGCATGATCACTGAGAAAATGGGGGGTGATGAGAAGAGGCTTGCAGGGGTGGGGGGTTAAGATAAGTGCTGAGCGAAGGGGTGGGGTTATAATACGGTAGTGGTCACCTCCGCTTTGAATGTAGGGAATGGGATAACAATAGTAAAAGCGGGTAGGGTGGGGCTATGGAGAACCGTGGGTGGGAGGTCCTGGACAATATCTGATTCATGTGACCTCAAGGTTGGATATTTGTAATGTGTACCCATAGAAAAACAGGGATGGGTATTCACCTCACCCCTCATGGGACAAAGGGCCTGCAACCCCACCTCTCACCATCAGACCCCCCTACCCCTGAGTGAAATGCTGACTCCGAGATATTGAAGATTTCCGTCTATTTGTGAATCGATGTCCTTTTGAAGCGTTTCGCAATATGGGTGAATGTTGAATGAAAGGAAATAGCTAATTCATTTATCCTATAAACGATTTATCTGTCTTGTTTTTATCTCTGGTTTAGTTTTAAGATAACCTGAAGGAAATGCGGAGAGCATGGCAGCGTACCGTGAAGGCAGCGATGGCGTGGGAGGGGCAGGGACTTCATGGGGGAGAGCGAGCGCGCATGGTGGTGCACCCGGCAGCAGGAAACGCAGGGATTCTCATCCAGGGCATTAGAGCATCTTGGGAGAGCGTCGTGGACACTTCGCTGTCCGTTACCCTGGGGCAACCCCCGAAAAACGGCTTGCAGCGAACCCTGGCAGCAGCAGGGGTGTGGATCAGTCGAGGAGGAGCTCAAACTCTTGGGCATCTTCTTTCAGGACCGACTGTCTCCACTGTTGAACACTTGATGGCAGCGCTGTCCGGGTGTGGGGTAGACAACGCAAGGGTAGAGGTGAGTGGAGGGGAGGTTCCGATCATGGATGGGTCTGCGAAGGAGTTTGTGAGCATGCTGAAGGACAACGTCGTTGAACTGCCTGAGTTTGAGCGAAGATGGATAGTGGTGGAGAAGGAAGTCATTGTCGACGATGGCCATGGGAGGATGGCGATGCTTTCACCACCGAGCCATGCAGAGAGGAGCAGGGGATCGCTGAGACTCCATGTAGAGGTCAACTATGATGAGAAGTTCGAGCAAGGGGCAGGAGTGACATCTGAAGGAGAAGGAGCGGGAGGTGCGGGAGGATGGAGGGGCAGATGGGGAGGGTCGCGGGTCTTCGAGTTCGAGCGAGAGGAATTCGAGGGTGTAGCGAGCGCAAGGACGTTCTGCTTCCACCAGGACGTCGAGCAGATGAGGAGGATGGGGCTAGCAAGGGGAGGCTCCCTGCTGAACGCAGTCGTGTTCAAGGGAGGAGAGGTTATGAACGAGGAAGGGCTCCGCTTCCCCGATGAGATGGTCAGACACAAGGCCCTGGACGCCCTCGGGGATCTCTCGCTAGGAGGGAGGCTGGTGGGGAGGTACCAGTCGGTCAAGGCCGGGCACGGGATCAACGTGCAGCTGCTCAGGAAGCTCTTTGCGTCAGGGGAGAACTACCGCTGCGCATGACTGAGATGTGAGATGGGGTAAGAGTGGAGGACAGGCTGGGTTGAGGGGAGGAGTTGTGATGGGAATGAAGGGAAGGGAGGGGAAGAGAGATTAGAAGAGAATCGATGAAAATGGGGGAGGAAGGGGAGTGGAGCGGAGGGAAGGGAAGGGAAGGGAAGGGAGGCGGATATCTGTGGAGGCACGTATTTATTAAAACGTGAGGGTGTCATTCTTGTTTCGCCGTCTTGCTGCCTTGATCTCTCCTCCTCATCATCATCATCATCAACTTCACCTGCTGAGCGATCTCTACAGCAATGCACAGGCTGCATGCAGAAGTGATTAGGTAGATCTTGTGGTGATCGCCGAGGATCAGGCAAGACCAGCAGGCCAGGTGAAGAGCCTGTCAACAAGCGTCACCTTCCCCTCCTCCGCTCAGCTCCGCTCACAGCAGCAGTCCGAGAGGCTTGCAGCAGGTGGGCCGAGCGCTCCACGTTGAGACGGGTCAGGATGCCGAGAGCAAGTGCGAGGAGGGGAGGGAGGAGGAGGAAACTTTGTCCATCAACGACTCGAAGTAGAGGGCAGAGTGAAAGGGGGCCAACGCTCTGTCTTTCCACATGCTCCAGATGCGATGGGGCCCTGAAAATGATGAGAAGAGGAGGAGGAGGACGAAGACGAGGACAAGAAGCACGAGGACGAGGGCGAGGACAAGGACAAGGAGGAGGACGAGGACGGGAGGATTAGAAGGACTAGGAGATGAGAAGGACTAGGAGGACAAGGACGAGGAAGAGGTTGAGGACGAGGACGAGGACGACGGTAAGGAGGATGGAAAGAAGTAACGGAGAGCCCCACTTACCGAGGGGTGCGAGGTAGATGGAGGATTGAACTTGCGCGATGAAAGAAGGGCATCGGCACACGGTGGAGAGTAAAAGGTGGACGATGACGAAAAGACTTCGAGACTGTCAACAGATGAGGGAGGATGAGAAGAGGAAAGAGAAAAGGAGAGGATGGACAGGATAAAGGTGAGGGGAAGGGAAGGAGGGGAAGGTGGAGCAAGTTGAGAGGAGAGGAGAGGAGAGGAGACGAGACGAGAAGACAACAGTTGGCGAGAGGGAGGAGAACGAGAAGGCGGAGGCGGGGGGAGGAGGGTTGCTGGAGGACGAGAGGACAGGAGAAGGAGGTTCAAAAAGACTCACCATGGCCCAATCTCGCTGGCTTGAGTCCAAGTGCTCCAACCTGACCCTGTTGATGGCGAGGAACTGATGGGAGAGGAGGAGGAGAGCAAGGCAGGAAGCAAGGAAGGGATCGAGGACGGCAAGCGGCAGGGCTGGCAGGAGGGGGAGGGCGAGAGCGATCCACGCGCGCAGCGGCTGGCTGCTGAGAAGAAGCGGCTCGGAGGAGAAGAGATTCGTAAGGAGGAGGAGGACAAGAGAAGCGAGGGATAAGAGGAGGATGAAAAGGCCTGACAGAGGAGGAAGAAGAGAGCGGCAGGCGGGAAAGTGCATGATGCAGGAGGATGGAGAGAAAGTGAGTTGTCAGACGAGGGAACAGACGAAGAGGAATGGTGGGAGCTGGAGCGGCGGGAGCTGCAACGGGAGCAAGAAGAGTACAAGGAGGTGGAGGAGGAGGAGGATGGAGAGGAAACCAGAAGCGGCGAGAACGAGCAGGGCAACGAAGAGCACGGGCTCCCTGTGACTCCAGTTGTCGATGCTCAGGTTTTGATCACTGGACCATGAACAGTCAGGATGCCAAGAGCGAGGAGGAGGAGAGGACAGCAAGAGAACAGGAGGAGAGGAGGAGAGGACAGCAAGAGAACAGGAGGAGAGGAGCAGAGGAGCAGAGGAGCAGAAGAAGGGGAGAAAGATCAAGATGAGTGGAGGTGGGAGGGAGGGGGGCAAGGGAGGGGGGAGGAGGTTTGCGGTCGTTACCTGTCCACCGTGGCACCTCCAATGGTGCAGGTCCACAAGAGGTCAGGGGAGGAGCTGGTGAGCGTCAGCTGGCAGCAGCGCAACCAGGGGACCGGAGCATCACCTTCCACGGAGAGAGAAGACACAGAGGATCGACGGGGAGGAGAGGAGCAGGAGGAGTAGGAGGAGCTAGCGGCCGATCAGAGTCAAAACCCTCCTCCACAGCTGACACTGCTGCTGACCATAGGCCAGAAGGGGTAGGAGAGGGCTCGAAAGGACCCCTTTAGCATGCTCGCCATGGCTCCAGCAGCGCCTCGTTCCTTGTAACTCACAACCTCCTCCTTCCACAGGCTCAGCCTCGCGAGAGAGAACCCCTGATCCTTGGCTGTCAGGAGGGGGAGAAGGAGAAACAGCAGCAGCAGCAGCAGCAGCAGCAGCAGCAGCAGCCGTCGCTCACATACCACCAAGGATGCCGACAGGACGAGGATGCGGTGGACGTGGCGGAGGAGGAAGAGGCCGAAGGAAGAGGAGAGGTCGACGGAGAGCTGAGGGAGCATGAACGGACGCGTCGAGCTGCCTGCATGTCGCACCTTCACTTGATAGTCGCAGTGAGGATCCGTGACGGCGAACACGTGAGGCTTCTCCCTCCTCTGCCATGGGCCGATCGACTGTGCGACAGAATGTCATGGAGAGGAAGGGGATGGAGCGCAGAGGAGGAGATAGGATGGCACGACGAGGATGAGGACGAGGACGAGGACGAGGACGAGGACGAGGACGAGGACGAGGACGAGGATTGTGGAAGGAATACGAAGGAGTTTGGTGGGCAAGGGTGGCAGAGGAGGAGGACAAGGGGGAGCGAGGAGGGAGGTCGAGGAGGGAGGTGGGAGGAGGCAGAGAGAAGGAGGAAGGCTTCTCTTCCTTGTTTCACGTACGTACGCACCTGATGCATCCATACGTTCACTTTCTCCTTGTGAGATGAGACAACACGAGCAAACCCTTCGGAAAGACCTTCAAACAGCCCGTAAAAAACCATCCTCCTACTCCTCCTCCTCCTCCTCCTCCTCCTCCTCCTCCTCCTCCTCCTCCTCCTCCTCCTCCTCCTCCACTCTTCCTCCTCTCCTCGTACCAGTTCGCCATGACGAGACGGGCGTAACGAGGACAACAGGGCTGAAAGTCTCCTTGAGGTCTTCCCCTCCTGCTCCTGCTTCCTCCTTCCCGTCTCTTGCCCGGCACCTCAACTTCTCTATCGTCAAGGACGCAGGGAGAGGATCCGTAGACCCCGGGAGAGTGAACGGGGGGAGAGCAGCAGCTCCGGCGCTGCAGCATGAGTGAGAGGAGGGAAGGAGAGCAGGAGGAGCTGACCGAGAGCCGTCCAAGAGCAGCAAGCGAGACCCAAAGTTGGACAGGAGAGAGGAGGAGAAGGAGGGCGAGGGAGGGGAGGGTTGGAGCATGACCGCGGCGATCCATGAAGGATCCTGAGGGCTCGAGGACGGGGAGGCAAAGCAGAGGGAGGAGAAGAGGGAGGAAGAGGGGCGGGTCTGAAAGGAGGAGAGCGAGATCATCCATCTGCGCGCGTCTCATGCTCCTCAGCTACAGGCAGCAGGCGCTCACTTGATGCCCTCAGGGTCCTCGCGAGACAGACAGTCCGAGTTGGCCTGCCGAATGCTGCCAGCCTCACTCAGAGCTCACACCCTCCTCCTCCTCCTCCTCCTCCTCCTCCTCCTTTGCTCCTTCCCCCTCTTTTCCACCCCCCACCCCACCCCATCCTGCTCATGCCTCCATCTCCTGCTCCTGCACTGCCCCGTCTCCTGATATCATCTAGCTCCTCTCCGTGCTCCCCTCCTCTCCCGTACCAGCTTGTTTTCTCCATCTTGACAGCTTGCGGCTTCAGGTCCACGTACAACGGTAGACTGCTTCCACTGTCAACAGATCACAGATAGCAGAATAAGAAAGAAGAAGAGAAGGAGCAGGAGGAGCAAGAGGTGAAGAGGAGGAGGGGAAGAGGGGGTAAGTGGAGAAGCAGCATGGAGATCCCCAACCTCTCCAGCGCTTGCTGGCATGTGGCGCTGGCTGCGTCCTCCTCTAGGTAGACAAGTCGCCAGTCCTTGAGGAACGTCAGGAGCCCCAGGGTTCTCAGCCTCTTGACCTGCTCCAGCGGCAGGTTGCCCATGACAACAAGGTTTGAGCCGATCTGAAGGTAAGTGAGGGACGTTTGGGGGGGGGGG